TTTTTGTTCACAGTCATGCTGTATGTTTTCTCTTTAAAGAAGATTGAAGAAAGATTCTGTTTTAAAGGCTGATGCCTGGAGATGTTTTCTTGTGGTTACATGAAGCAAGATGTAGACTTTGATGCCAAAAGAAAGGGTGCCCCACCTTGTCAATGAATCCTATAATCAGGTTGCAATAGTAACAGATTACAGCTGTCATGTTTCTTTTTCTCCAGGTTCTGATTTCTCTCCGTATCTCTGGTTTTCTTCTAGTAAGAGATACCCGGTGTCTCATTTTGCTCAGGTCAGGCAGGAGAACTTACACTGGCCAATAGTTTCCATTACATTTATCTAATCTCCTGTCTTTTCCAGCTAACCTGAGTGCCATACAGGTACTGAACTACATTTGCATGTGTGGTAGTTTGAGAAATTAATTAATTCTAGAAGTTTTACTGAAACACACCTTTTCCATAAATGACAAAAACAGTTTAGACAAACCTTCACTACAATAGTGGGTTGTTTTTTTTTTTTTTTTACTGTAAGTTGATGGCAAGGAAATAATTAATGCAAAACTCTCAGACCTGTCCTTGAAGTCCTGCTAAGGTCCCACTCCCCTGTGAGAGGGATGTGGAGGTACCTATGGACAACTGGAGTGCAGAACAGAGGATTTCCCCAGGATCAGCAAACTGGTGGCTGACTTAATGCTGGCAGACCCCCTATCAGCCCTGATCCATGTCGTCCCACTGTAACCTGTGCTGCTGCCTCCACAGATTAGTTATGCTGGCCAAGGCATCTGTCTCAAGGTATTTGCTTCAGACACTGTGGATGATGGAAACCCTGATTTATCCAGGCTTGTATCAGGGCTGGCTTTCCTTAAGCATACTGAGCTCTCCTCATTTTACCAAATGTGAATATAAGCTTGGCACAGTGTGTGATCTTAAAAGAGGTCAACGTGCAAAATACCTCCCATTGATGGTGACACTGAAGCCCTTCTCTTGTGGGCTGAGGTGGGTTGGAGGCCAGGCTCTGGGCCCACCTGTGGGATTCCTGTGGGAATCTCAGCCTCCCTTCCCTGCAGACACTTGGAGAGGAGTTGGTGATCAGCTGTTCTCGGAGGTAAAACCACAACAAGCACATGTGCTGCTGCCTGTCTGGTCCAGAGGATTTCCTGCTACTTTCAGGAGACTGCAAGCAAGCTGAAATGTTCCAGCACTCTAAAGGAGGACAAGGCATTGGTGGGAGGCTTGTTTAGTATCTGAGTGGGATCATGACTACGATGTTCATCTGCATGTTACCGGCATGGAATATACGCACTTTGAAGACAAGTAGGCTCAGAAAGAAAGGAAAACTTCCAGGGAGGGAGGAGGCAGAGTGAAAGACTGCTAACACTTGCAGCGTGAAGATCAGGGGAAAGATAGAAATATCAGAGCAAGATAATCTACAGGGGGAGGAAATCAGGCACAGAAAATCAACACTTGATGGGAGACTACCCTAAATACCTACTGGGAGGCTGGTATTTACCCTCCAGGCAGTAGCAGGGCAGGTGCCAAATCCGCCTGTTGAAGAAGCAGGAGGTTACCAGCAAAACTAGCACACCATAACCCTGGGGGACCTTTTTTGCAAACACACCATTAGATTGCTGGCATGGAGAGAAGCTGGCAGCCCCGTTTCACACCAGCGATGATGTCACACAGCTCTTATTTCAGAAGCATCTCTGTGAAGTTGACAGCTACTGCTATCATCTGATTCTGCTCAGATTGCTAATGTTGATATCTGAAGCAGGTTTTCAGTGGTTCCTGAAGGAGCAGCTGTACATAATGAATGGAAGGTGTCTTTTAGCACCTTAGCAGTTAGGTGCTTAGCAGTTATCCACATATTTTGGTAGTCTTTCAACTGTGTAAAAAAGCCAACCAGCTCATCATTTTCTAAGGTGTTTTAAGGCAGGGAAAGAGCATTTGCAGCTTGCTTAGGATTTTGGGATGCTTCACAGGTTGATTTAAGGCACTGTGACTTTCTCGCAATGCTCCTGCAGTATTCTTCACGTTGTTTTATCTAAGAGAAGGAAAATGTATGGCTGATTCCCTCTTAATTAGGCCTCATCTGCTAAACAGTTCTGTCACTATTTACATATGAGTAGTCCCCACTGAAGTCAGGTCCTGCAGCTGTATACTTCATCTGGTAACAATGTGATTCCAAGATAAACAGACTTGGAACAAGAGATGTACATTGCCTTATATGTATGAACCACCTGCGTGCAGCAAATGCTGCGCCATGTCATCCTGGCAAATGCTAACAGCTATTCTATTTCAGCAGCCTGTGAACAGACCACCTGATTATTAGTTTTAAATAATGGGCTAAACTCTACCCACTGCTTCAGCTTTTACTGAGGTGTATGACTTGTCAGGTGAGTAACTGAGTCACTTGTGCCCCTCTACAGTAGTAAGGGAAAAAACCCTCCATGCCAACTCACATCAAGTGGTTTTTCATGGCTGCGTCCACCATGGCCTGGGGATAAGATCTTCTAGAGAAAAAAAACAAAACAAAACAAACAAAAACCAAAACAAAACCTAGCTGGAAACAAGACATAGGGAAAGGAAATGTCTAGAAAGTCAACAGGCATTTAGGTTTAATTCTAGTCCATTTCCCTTCTTGCAGGAAACGCTGACAGAGGAGTGACTGGTGCATTGACTGGTGTCTCAACTTCAGCTCTGGCCCATCAAAATGACTTGGGCTGTTCTCTCACCTGTGAAAGCCACTGCAAGGAAAGAACTCTGTTTTATACTGCCTCCTCCTACTCTTCTGCCAGGTAATTCCCGTTCTCCATAGCATCCCCTATTACCCTACCAATGACCTTTTATTTTCCCACACACTTTTGTACCATTCCCTTGATTACAACCCTGTTTATTCCATTAATTACATTGACACTATCTAAAGCAATCTCTTCAGCAAACACGTGCTTAATTTGGTCAATTGAGAATTATCTGGGTTATCAGTTGTCACATATGCCCAGGGGGTGGGTGGGTGGAGTCCAGTTCTTAAGCAGAAATGCTGACCAGGAGCTCTTCTAGTTAGCTGTCCAAAGAAGTAACTTTGCTCATAGCTGTGTCTCACTTGGCACCCCGAAGCTCTCCCAGGCAGCACCCTGCCTTATCACTGCTGGCAAATCCCACCAGTTTCCAGCAGAAAATGCATCTGCACAGGGCTGAAATGACACCATGCTGCTTCCTGCTGTGGATCTCCTGGGAAGCTTTGCAGAAGGATTTTTTTGTTGTAAATTTAACGTTATTACTCAAGATGATACTGTGGCCCATCAAAGGTTTCTCCTGGGCGTCTCTAGCAACTGAGACCGTCATCAGAAAATGAAGATACTGAGAAGTTAATAAAATTAGAAGTAGGGGAGGAACAGTGCTGCAAAGTACTTTGTTACAAGTGCTACAGAGGCAATTACTTTCTCAATGAAGGCAATGTTTCTTGAGCTCTAAAATAAGTATGCAGAAATACGTTTTGAATCATAGTGGATCTTTGTAAAGTTCTCTCTATAAAACACCGAGGACTCCACAGGGTCAGAAACCTTTAAGATTTATATATGTATTTATGTCATCAAAACGTGAATTGTGCAACTTACTACTCAAAGTAGATATTACCAAATTACTTTATTCCCCTGAGGAAGGGCAGGAGCAAACTGCTTAGAAGAATGGGAGAAAGCAGAACTCATTGCAAGTCCACTTGTTGAAACACTTAGGTTTTTGGATTTTTTTAACTTTAATGACACTTAAAACTGTATTCCTGACCAGTATTAACACTAACTATGAGTATTTCCAACTGTTGGAAGAAAACTTCAGCTTCCTGACTGAAGATCAGCACTTGAGGACGTGTCTCGGGTGACACCGTGTCGGTGAGAGGATGATGTGCCGGGTGCAGTGTTACATCAGCAGCAGGCTTTCCGGCAGGCTCTGCCTGCACATGGCACACAGGCAGTGTGTGATGCAGTGAGGGGGTTCCGTGGTTCTCCTCAGGGCAGCTTTGCTGGGTACCACTTGACTTTTCTTCTAGCACCTTGTCCGCAGGACAGCCGAGGCAGGAAAGTACCAGCTGTACCAGTCTTAGGGCAGCATCTGCTGGTTATTGCATGGATCAACATAGACGGTTGTCATGGAAGAGGCTGCTTGCTTGGGCTCCCAGGCAGAGGTACCTGGGACTCGGGGGACGAGAGAAACGGGCGCTTTGGAGAGAAATGACCCGTGAATGTAATTCCAGCACTCAGTCAGGAGAGAATGGGAGTGGACGAGGAGCTCCTCGGTCTTGCTCTCTTTGTTTCCTTATGAGAGGCAGTACCCATAAACTTTGGCAAGTCCAGGCTCAGTTGACAGCAATTCGCCTTCAAAGGCGAAGAAACCCGCCGCACCACCTCCCACAGCCTTTCCCGCACCGCTCCCGCGGGGCTCTCGGAGCCGGAAGGCGGGGCAGTGAGAATAAACAAACCCCAGATGCGAAGACAAACTGGGGACGAGGACTTTGTGAGCCTTGGGCAGGAGCAATCCTGGGGCTCGGCCACCTCTCTCAGGGAAAGAGGCTGCACTGGCGCCCAGGTGTGCGGGCGTTCTCCCAGCGCAAGCAGACCGGAATTGACTTGGCGATAGAAATCACGGGCGAGCCGGGCGCTGCTGGGGCCCCGAGGGGAGAAGGGGAGAAGGAAAAGGAAAGGCAGATACCGGGGATGCGCTCCCCTCCCCTCTGCCTTGCCGGCGGCAGGGGCTCAGTGCGGGCCGGCGGAGCAGCCCGCCCCCGGGATGCGCCTCCCAGCGAGGGTGGAGGGAGGAGGGGGAGGAAAAGCGTGCGGGAAGGTGCAGCTCGGGAAGGGCGAGGGTTTCGGAAAGGAACTCGTCTTGGCAGCTGTGCCATGCTCCTCTTGTGGCAGGACCTAGTATGCAACAAGTCCCTGGAGCACTTCCCGTGAGAGCGCAGTGAACGTGACATTCAAACAAACAAACCAACAAGCAACCCCCCAAATGCTGACTTACCTGTCCCGAACATAAATCTCCGGAGCCGGCTCGTCTTGCACGGCCCCAGGTGCGAGCCGGGAGGTGGGAGGAGGGCGGTGGGAGTCAACGCTCGCTGCGGAGCGCGCCCGGCCGGCCAGGACTTCGCTCGGGAATTTTAGTGTCCCGCTCCGATTTCCTGGGAGGCGGCTGCCATCACGTTTTATACTGTATTGGTTGGTAACCCCTCTCATTCATTAAGATCACGTAAGAACTCAGAGGGAAACGTGACTCTGAGCTAAGGCGTTTGCGTAAATCTATAGGTTTTTAAAACACGCTGCCAGTTGCTTTCTGTCTTCTGTAGGCACCAAGGTGGTGGAGAGTTTAAGCTTGCGGATATTGCAAAGGGTTATTAGATTCATAAGTCACACCAAGTGGTGGGCGATCCACTGAGCAAAGCAGAAGTTCTCACATGATGACTTCAAACAAGACACATTACCTTCCAGCATCTGTTGGAGAGACTGGATTTTAAACCACTTCTGTCTCCAGGACAGCAAAGAAACAATGGTGAGTACCTACCAAAAAAAAAAAAAAAAAAAAAAAAAAAACCAAACCAAAAAAAAAAAACCTGGAGAGAAGAACAAAACAACTACACCAAAAAGCTTGAGATGTTGCTTAACGACAGCATCTGATACCACGGGCTCGGCTTTATAGTACTTAATACGCCAAAGAGCGTAACCGGCGGAGGCCGGGAGAATTGTGTTTTAGACGGTGTAACTTTAATTGCGGCGCTCTTTGATTTAGGGCTGCGATGGAAACGGCGCGTCTGAGAGAGAAACTTGGAGCTGTGGCGGCCGGGCTGCCGCCGGGCGCTCGCCTCTCTCTCGGCGGGCGCTGCCGCCTGCCGTCGGGGGGGCCGGGGGCTCGGGGCTGCCCCGGAGGGGGCGCGGAACCGCGCGGAGCGGCACGTGATAGGCGGGGGGCCGCGGCGAGGAGCGGCCCGGGCGCGCAGCGGGCGCGGCGGCGGAGCGAAGCGGGGAGGCGGCGGCGGCAGTACCCTGGACAGCGGCGGCGGGGGCCGGCGGAGGCGGCCCCGCACCGCTCCGCATCGCTCCGCGACCCGGCGGGCTCGGGGAGCCACTGGCGCTGGGTACCGGCTTCCCTCCCCCGCCAACCCTCGGTGCTTCCACTCCCCTCCTCTCCCCGCCCGCCGCCCTCTCGCCCCGCTGGAGCTGGGCTAAGTTGAATTCCTAGCGGTGCGGACTGGAATAGGAACAAGAGAGGAGGGATAAAAAAAAAAAAAAAAAAAAAAAAAAAAAAAAAAAAGAGTCTTGCAAGCTCCGGGGGTTGGTTTGACGGTGTCAACTTTGGGAAATGCCAGTATTTATCTCCGCGATCTAGCCACTGCTCGTGGTGTTAGCTGTAACCAAGGTAAGCAGAGGGGGGACAAGAGGGGGGACACCCCCGGCAGCCCCTCTGGCTCCTGCCTCTACCTCTCTGTGGTGCGGCAGCCCCTCTGGCTCCTGCCTCTACCTCTCTGTGGTGCGGGGATGGGTGCCTGCTCTTCGCCTAGTTTTGTTACCTTGCTTGCTGCTTGATGTGTGTGAGGAAGGAAGGAAAAGCTGGATGAGTTTTAACTACGAGTTAACTTAAGTTGTGCCTGATTTAACCTGGGAATCTCGTCTATGTGTATGTGCATGCTTTGGGCAGAGATGCAACTGATCTTTACCAAGAGAAGTAGATGCGACGGATTTTTTTTTTTTTTTTCCCTTCCTGGCTAAGGATTCAAGTTGATTTTGCATAGCTAAAGAGATGCAGCTGAGCTCTAGCTGGCACTGATGTGCAGGACTGATCTTTCACAGATAAAGGGACGCAGCTGATCTTTACCTACACGGAGATTAGCTGACCCCTCTGTATACGCAACCTAAGGCTCAAAGGGAGAGCCGTGCATGTATTCCTGATGATCCAATATCCGCAGCTACTTTGCTATAATTAATGGTGTGTGTGTGTGCGCGTTTGCCAAGCCTGAAACCCAAACGCAGCCCCCCCAGCTGGAGATCATACGGATAAGCTTTCTGCTCATCTCCCTCCCTATCTCTAGTGCCTTCCCCCACCCCTCCCCGCGCTTCCGATTCTTCCTACGTAGAAATGTAGCTAATAATATTTAGTCTCCGGGCTAAAAATAAGCTCTGGAAAGTCAGCAGTTTGGCGGAGCAGCGGCGGCAGCAGCAGCGCTCGCAGGTAGAGAGGCTCAGGGGTCTCTCCGGCTCCGCACGGAGGCTGTGCATCCCCCCCTCCCCAGCTCCCCGCGGGGAGAGGGAGCACGAAACCGCGCCGCGCCCGCCGCCCCGCTCCAGACAGCCTGCGCTCCTCCGCCCGGGGAATCCCGGCCGCGGGAAGCCCCCTCCACCCCGCCCGCCGGAGCTGAGGGCGGCCGGCCGAGCCCCCCGGCACAGCCCCGGGGCCACAGGCCCTCCCTGCGGCAGCGCCCCGCGGCCGGTCCCGCTGCGGAGCCGAGCCCGCCGGGAGGAGGGCGGATCCCGGGGCCCTGCCGCCCCCGCCTCCCGCTGGGCTCCCTCCCGCTCGGCTCGCACGTAGCGCCGCCGGGCAGGGAAGCCCCCGGCAGGCGGGAGGGAGGAAGGGAGGCCGGCCCGCCGCGGGGAGGGGGCGGTGTCCCCACCGCGCAGCAGGGCGGAGACGCCGCGCAGGGCACCGCGCCCGCCGGGCCGGGCCGGGCTACCCCCGCCGGCGTCCCCCCGTGTTCCCCCCTCCCCACCGCGGTTGCTACGGCGACCGCCTGTCCCCGGGAGGCTCCATCCTGCGGACACGGGGCGCGATGCTGCGGAGATGGGGTATGCCGCCCTCTCCGCCCCGCGGCCCGGGAGCGGCTCCTCGGCGGCAGCCCCTGGACGGCGCCGCCGGCAGCACCGGAGCCGCACCGGACACCGGCGCGGCCAAAACGGAGATGGCGCAGGAAGGCAGCGGAGGGGCGCGGGGCTCTCCCCGAAGTCGGTCATCTGCCGCCTCTGCTGCAGCCGTGTCTGCTGCGGGGCTCCGATCGGGCAGGGGGAGCAGCCGCTCCCCGCTCCGGGAGATGCGCTACCGGCGGCCTTGGCTTAGCGCCGTCCTCCTTTCCCCTCCCCCGGCCGGCCGGAGGAGGGAGCGGGCAGCATCCCTCCGTGGATTTTTCCACTTCCACCTGGAGAACTTGCGTTTGCTAGGGATACCTGTCAGGGCGCCATAGGAGGCAGTTCTTAGCAGCTGTGGAGGCGAGGAGAGAGGAGCCAGAGAAGAGCCAGGTCTCAGCAGCATCCTTCATCAGGAGGCTGGGTGACACTCAAATACTCATGATTTGCAGTATTTGGTCTCATTAAATTCATAATGAAACTTCCTCTGACCTTTTTTCACTTAGGAAAAAGTAATGCGGTAGAGCTAATATTTCAATACATCCACTCTGGACTAGAGGTTGATGAGCCCTACTAAAAATCTACCCACTTCTCAAAATAATTTTTCTGTTATCTAGGAGGTTGTCAAGGAGCTTCTAGTTATATGAATTTTCCACTCCATGCATAATTTTGTGAATCTTCCTGTATTTTAAGTTTGCACCCATTACTTTCTTGCCAGCTCTTAAAAAACTCCAGCATTTCCCTTTCTGCCTCTGTTGCCATGTTTCTATGCAATTCTAATCATTCTCTGCAGAGACGCATGGGATGGACGGCTGCTAACAAATGACACGGGCCATATTTGGTCCCATTGTGGTGACTCATACCTAAATCTGCAAGTAGCTTTATTGATTTTAGTATCTCCTGTTTCTCCAGGAGCTGTCACTGCTTTGGTGGTGGTTCATCACCACCTGTCATCTCTTACAGTTATGGTACTGTAAAATGGCTGATCTCCTTGGAGCATGTCTTCATCAAGGTTTTGGTGTGGCAGTCTTTTTTGCCTCTTTTTTAAGGTTTTCTTTTACCTGGTACCAAGAGTGTTATCTTCAGTGGTTTGGTGTCTGTGTTCAGGTGTTTGCTGTCCAACATGAGATGGTTGTTATAATATGCGCTATTTGACACAGGAGTTGTCTCTGTGCAAGTTTGCCATTCTCAGCAGCATACCATTTGGATAACCTTTTGATTTTCAGGATTGCTCAACAATTTCCTGTTTCAAACGGTCTGATATTTCTCACTATTTATTTTTAGTGGCCAGCATTCACAGGCATGTGTGCCAGTGGATTCATGTCTAGCATTTCATTAATCTGAGGTGGCTGGATGCATACGTTTGGCTTTGTACAGCAAGTACTTTCTTTTTTTTTTTTCCTTTATCACATTAATGCTGTTGAGCTCTTAGAAATGCACTAAGAAAATGCAGACTGGCTGCCATTCAGTAACCATAAGTTGCTTCCTAAATACAGTGGCATATGGTTGCCCTGCCATGAGAAATTCTGGAAAGGTGGATAAATCCTGAGGGACAGATTTTCCTCGGAGCTGTAAGTCTTACCATGAATCATTGTAGTAAATCACCGCTAAGCACTTGAAGATGTAGCTGCTAGAATTTTTTTAATCAGATACGCAAACAAAGAGAGCATCGAAAAGATTTCAGGAGAACTAGTTCATTCCTCTGGCAAAAAATAGTAACATCAAGTGCAGTAAACAGCATCTGCAAGAAACAGTACCTATCAAAATTGTTGAAAATCAGTAGATTCACAAGATCAGTAGACCTTGGGAATGAGACAGGTAGTGCAAGGTAAAATATGTCTGAAAAGACACTTTCACGGCTCCCTCCCCTTTGAGCTAACATTAGACTGGGGCTAAGAAACTGGGACTAGCAAAAGCAGGCTTGTCAAAGTTGTCCTTAAAATGGATTTGGTGGCTTTTGAGGCACGAAGAACTAGAAAGGAAGAGTGGAGAAATGCAGGACTGATTTTGTAATGCTCATTTTCATTTGTGGTCAGCAAGTCCAGCTAATAATGACTGCAGAATATAGGCAGATGAAACGTAAAGAGGTAATACTTGTATGCCTGGAAGTAAGATTTTGGAACAAGTGTGGGTATCCCATGTTTCTCTCATGTTTGGTTTTCCAAAGGTTTTTACACTTCCTTTCTGCATCTCTCCCACCACATTGTTAGGAGTAATGAAGTGCCCTGGCAGGGAAATGTCAGGGGGCATCCTGCAGCCCCCAGGGCACGTGATGAGCAGGGTCACTGGCAAGCTGCTCGCCACCTTTGGTGAATTCCTCCACCCACGTGCCAGCAGCAAGGTGTACGGTCGGGCACAGGCTTCTCCCATGAACTGAAAATATCTCTGAGACATACTTCTGCAAAATTATAGCCAGGAAAACATACCAACTGACATGGAGTTCATATAACAACTGCCCACCCATTTCATTATTTCACAAATGTGTGATTCTTGCTTGTGAGCTGTCACCATTAACATTTCCATCTGTCTCAATATTGCTTCTATTCTTAGTTGCTTTGTGATAGATGTAGGTGTATGAAAAAGATTTCCCCCCCCTCCTTGTGTCGTGAAGTAAAATAACCGAAAGCCACATATATGTATCCACGCATTTTCATGCAGGCAGCCAGAAACAGAGACACTTTCATGGCACTCCCATTACTAGGTGTAGAGGGGTGGTAAGAAGCGCATGCCTGTGGCCTCTTGGTGCTGCTGGAATAGGTACATAATGGGGAAAAACATAAATAAGTCAAAATCTAACTGCAAAAGAACAATATTGCTTTGATCTCCTTTTGAATATGCAGTTGGAGAGACCTATTTTCCCAGCCATGTAAGTATGGGAAAAATTTTATTTATCATGTAATCCTAATTGGTCTTTTCCTGAGGCAATCTCAAAGGGAAAATAGCTGTGACAGGCTTTGGTGTTCAAAGGATCAGGTCCTCAGCCATGTAGGTATTTCTAAACCTAGACCTTTCAAGCTGCTCATTGCTTGGACAAACAGAAAACTCTCTGCAATATAGGCAAAACCTGCTCATCTGTGCCAAAAGTGGAATCAGTGGGATGCCTGTGGCAACGATCAGGCATGTCACAGGAGTCTCTAGCACATCTGGTTCCAGTCACATTATTCCTGTTGTCATTTGAACTTCATGGCAGAGTGCAAATTCACTGTCCCCTGATGGAAAATGTCTCTGAAATGGCTGATGGGTGTGAGGCATTTTCATCTGGCACAGCTTGGTGCTTCCCAGAGGGGCAGGGATTAGCTGTGTCTAGTCTGGAGAAGCAGCTGGGCTGTGGGGCCTGGCCCCTGCCCTTCCTTGGCTGGGACAAAGCCTTGGGGCCAGGGCAGTGCCCTAGAGCCAGGTCTGCTGTCAGTGAGTGCTTTCCCCATGGCCACAGGCTGCTGTGTTGTCTCTTGTGGGGAGCACTGGTGCTGGCGCTGTAGTGCACCAAGCTCTTGCCATAAGTGGCCAAGTGTATACTTTCTCTTCCCCCTGCCTTTTCATGGTGTGGTCTGGTTTTTTTTTGTTTGTTTGGTGTTTTTTTGTTTTTGTTTTTGTTTTTTTTTTCCCTTCCCAAAATAGCACACAAACCCCCAGTTTAACAAGCATAAACCATACACTCTGGCCTCCAATTTATTTTGACATTTGGCAAGAATGATTTTGCAACATGTTCATTAAGTCATAACATTTTCGCTACTTTCCCATTCCAGATCCTTATTGACTATAGCATGTGTGAAAATAATGAAGTTATTTATTCTCCAAATGGACAGTGGACCATAAAGCTCCCAAGAAATTGCATTGTTTATGGATGCAATGTATGCAGAGACTTTTAAGGCCCCAGTTGTCCCCTAACTTTAAAAAAAACTTGTTAATTTCTGAAAGGGGTGAAGAGGAGTTTATCATCCACTAAAATGTTAATAGAATTGCTCAGTTAAGGAGGTCTCATCAGACCAGTTGTTTCTTTTTTTCTTAAACAGAGCCTTTGTGAGCTTTGGGAATAATGCAGTAAAAAGTTATGGTAGTAGATAATTAGATGGACCAGCTAAAAGCAATATGAAAGGGGGCTGGTAGCACAAGGATTACAGAAGGTGTGTGGGCATTTTGACATCCAGAAAACATTATAGATCTGGTCTCAGCTACCTCAGTCTCATGATGATAATTAAGACATGTGGGTGTAGAAAAGATCTTTGCATGGTTTGGTTGGATTATTCCTGCAGTTCAAAACACAATTGACAGAGACACCCACACTGGACATGATTGCCCTTTGATGAGGCAGATACTGACTTTTTAAAGCTGA